AATGCATACATGTTCTCTGGAGTCTGAATATCAATAATCATTGAAAAAAAGTTGAATTTTCGATTCACGGTCGCTAGGGGGAGTAAAATGATCGTTGTGGGAGGAGCCTATTTTACTAATATGGCTATAACTCGAGAAGTAAATGAGATATCTTCACCAATCTTGGAACACATGTGTATGAGTTCAATCTGAGGTCACAGTAAAAAAATCGCGTCGACCTAACACTAGGTGGCGCTATAACACACAAAAAACCTAAATCGGGCTATGACCACCTGACCGTTAGTCCGATTGACTTAAAAATTGGTATGCAGTGTCTTGGTCCAAGGTGCCATGTATGTGTATGAGGAAATTGGTGTAACTCAAAAAACATGGCCGCCATCGGCCAATGAATTTGAGCACCTATTACACGAGGTTAACGGAGGCCAATCGGAACGAAACTTGACGGACATGTTTGACTCATGGCCCAAGAGGTCTGTAAGAGTTTTGAAAGAAATTGGCCACTAGTTGGCGCTAACGAGTTTTACGGCTCTGTAATCACGTGGTGTTGCACACATCCCGAAAATATGCATATCATTTGATAGATCTCCTCAGGATGAACAACTTTGCCTCTAGAACCATTGCTGTCAATCAAATCGTTCATTAAATATTCACGAATATGTTAAAAACCTACTTTTGCGAACTAGTCCCTGGATTTTTGCCCGATCGGAACCAGACCAGTCTAGGACAATTCTCTGGACTCTCTAGATCAATAATCATTGAAAAAAAGTTGAACTTTTGCATTTTTCGTATGGCTATAACAGGGTCATTTAGAAAAGGGGCGTGTCAAATACACACAAAAGCCTATAAATCATAAATAAAAACTCAGAACTAAACAAAAATTGGTGAGCATATGTGTCATAACATGGTGAAGAAGCATGCAAAGTTTCATGGAGATCGGACCATAGTTGGCGCTATAACTGTCAAAAAGTTTTAAAACCATACATTTCCAATGGCAAATTGCCTGTATTGGCTGTAAATGCTGATCTCTTAAATGAATGCTCAGATCTTCTTTAAAAAAGGTCAAGAACATGTGTAATATCACTCTGTACGGCATTGAAAAATTTCAGACAAATCAGACAAAATTTGCCTCTATAATTAATTGTCACAGGAAGCCTCAAAACGAAAGTAAAACATTGGGCCACGCCCCCCCAAGCACGAATTCACTCATAACTCGAAAACGGAAAGTCTCTGCCCGCTCAAATTTTGATGGTAAGGTCCTCTCGGGGATCTTGATCCAAATCTTTCGTCGCGGGGCTCGGGAGCGCCCCCCCGCGGATCGCTAATCTGTGAGAACCCCAACTTGAAACGGCTGTAACTCTTGATCCACACCATCTAGATCCTTGTGGAAGAGCTTGTTGGAAAGGGCTCGTCCTCATCTAGCTTCGATTCGAGTTTGGTGCGATTTGGCCTGGGCATTCCCGAGATATAAGCCCACAAAGATATGCATTTAAACGGACATTACTCCCGACAGCAATCACTCAGCAACACGGGGATGGTCTTGTTCAAGAGGGCTCCTCTAACCCTATCTAAGTTCTGAGTTTCAGATTTTTTCACTTTCTCGTTCCCGAGATATAAGTAAAAAAAAAAAACGAATTTCCTGTCATTCATTTCAACCGTTTATGTAGGCTGTAAAACCGCTGTTGTCCACTAGAGGGAGCAACAGCATTAGATATTTTTAATCTTTTTTAACCAGTTTTCAGCAATGGCTAACAAACAAATGCTTATAATATAATATTAAATAATGATTTATTAGAAAGTTTAATATTTTTACATCACAAATAAATATCTGAAATGCTTAAGGACCACAAAAAGAGATTTTCACAATATCATAACCCACAATTGTGTGTGTGTGTGTGTGTGTTTGTGTGTGTGTGTAAGCATGCATAATGGTATTCACATTGAAAGACTGGTTTGCTTTAGTGCACAATACTCAGGGTTTCTGCAGGGTTTAGTCAGTCAAATTTAAGACCTTTTAAGACCTTTTTATGACCAATATTATTTAAATTTATGACCTACTCGAATTACGAAAAATAACTTCCTTTCAAAAGTCTTTTTTTATTGACTTTCATTAAAAGTAATAAGTTTAATTATTTAAAGGTTCCATTTTCTTAAGAGTAACAAACTGAAGTCTCCCTTTTCCTAAGTATCAATAACACAGGAACAACACAACACTTATCACGATAATATCAGTCAATATCGATAATTATGACGATAAATGTCAATTCTTTATTTCTTTGAACTTTGAAGGCAGATTTTTGTTCCTAACTGAAAGTTGTAGAAACCAGAGCGTTAATTGTGGTTTTAAACTACTCTTTATTGTCAAAACATATCATGACAAACACTTGCCAAACAGGTGAACATTTCACAAATCTGAGGTAGAACATTCAAACATTTGTATTTTTTCCTTAACAAAAATAATATCTTTATTTCAAAATTAATTTCTTAGTTTCTGCATGTGCTAATGGGGGATATTGTTTCAAGTCTTGAAACAGGTTTGTGTTGCCTGACTTTGATGGCACGTATCTTTATGAAATGTATGAAAAACAGTAGGCTATAGCCTAAATACATAAATACTGTAATTATATTCCATTAGTCCTTTAATACATTGTCTACATTAATAATATAATACAATTCAATATGTATCCCACATTTCATGGTGCAGTTAATATTACTAGGCTAACGTTACAGTAAAACCATGGTAAAGGATGTAAATGTGTAGATGGAAAAGCTTTCTGACTGTATAGTTGCGCACAGTGTTTCTCCTGTTCGTCAGCGCTGTTTCATCTGCCTTTAAACTGGTTTAAATCAGTGAGACATTTGTGTTCTTCGCTGAATTCAAGTCCTTCTCACTGGATCTCGTGATCGAGACTGATCAAAGTTAACCATAGACAGTAAAAGAACGCGTCTGCTCTAGTGAGCTTGATCGCGCTACGCTGCCGTTTGGACTTTGAGCCGAGCGGATAAACGCTCCGTGAGGCGCGCGCGGTTCAAATGAGTTTCGTTCCGCTTTTGGCGCATAAACATGATCTAACATTTATCGAACTCTTAATATCGTTTTATAGAGAAAACATTATATCGCGATAATGAATGAATGAGCATATCAATTTAAGATGTGGCTAAATGTAATTTATGACCTTGTATGGAAAAGCCGGACGTTTTTATGACTTTTTATTGCCTAAAATTCTTATTATTAAATTTAAGACGTTTTATGACTTTTTATGACCCCGCAGGAAACCCTGATACTGATTAAACCAAGTAGTTCAAAATAAAAGTGGTACTATAGCAATAAGTGGTCTTCTACTACCCTCTGCTGGACATTATACTTATTAATAGTCTTTTCACATGTGCTTTTGCATTCATATATTCAGACACTAAAAAATAACCTTATGTGACAATTACTATAATAACACAATCATATTTTGTCTTTCAATTCACTTTACTGTTCTGAAGCTTCACATAATTGCTAACAACGTGGTAAATCATAGTAAATCATGCTACAATCCTGCTGAATCATTCTAGAATGTGGTATATCATGATAAATTATTGTGTAACATTCGGTCACAACAAGGTAACATCAAGGTAAACTAAGACAAACCATGGTAAACTGACTATTGTAGTACATTGAGAAATATGAATCCTGAAGGACAATTGCAGTAAACATTTCTTTTTTCCATCACATAGTTCAAATATCTGTATCTACAACAGAATGTGTGTGTGTAGTCCTAGGTTTCTGAATAAATGCTGAATAATCTGATTAATAGCTTGCAAAGACATTAAATGCTTATAGACCATTAAAATATATTTATATAATGACTTTGTGTGTATGTGTGTGTGTGTGTGTGATCAAATGTCTACATATGAGTGTAAAAGCACCTGTGAAAACACTTTATTAATAAGTAGAATGGCCAGCAGAGGGCAGTAGAAGACCACTTATTGTCTCACTCTCATTTTGACACACTTGATTTTCAACAGTAAATCAAAGCACTAAAGCAAACCAGTTTTTCCATGTTAACTATTATAACACAATCATTTTTTGTCAGAGTTTATCACTTCATTTTTATTGGCCCTTCACATCAATGCAGCAATGTGGTAAATCATGGTAAATCACGATAGAAACATGGTAAATCATAGTAAAAAATACTATTACATGGTGGATCATGGCAAATCATGCTAGCAATGTGATGAATCATGGTAAATCATGCTACAATCCTGGTAAATCATTCTAGAATGTGGTATATCATGGTAAATCATCCTATAACATGGGAAATCATGGTAAACTGTGGTAAATCATGCTAGATTCATGGTAAATCATACTGGAACATGGTAGATCATGAAAAATCACACTAAATTTGGTATATCATGGTAAATCATGCTAAAACATGGTCTATTCCATCTATGATGTCAATGTTTAAATGCTTGCTACATAAAACTTAATGTCTTTTGATGTTTTTGTGCTTAACGGCCTTAAAGGCCTTAACTGCTTGAACACCGCTAAATGCTGCTAGCAGCTTTAATTAATCAATTCTTTTTATTGGACATATATTCAATTTATTGGAATAAGACACATAATCAGTCATTATCGATACATTTTTGCACTGCATAGATGGATTTTCACTTGTGGCTTTTAGCTTGTTTTCCCAGTCAGTGTCATTCTTGATAATGTCAGCTCACGCATCGTTAAATGAACAATAACAATAGTATAGAAGGCGATGCGTATCAGACACCCCTAGAGAACAGCATACATTTTAGTCTCAAAAACATAACAAAAATGCTGTGCATCCAAAACAGTGTTTTTTGGGGGGAGATTCAATTTAAACGTGCATGACTTCACGTAAATTAATTTGTTGCAAGTCAAATGATTATTTTCATAACTTTCTCTGATCATCAAGTGTGTAAATTATAATATGTCGATCAAAGGTTTTGACCTCTGAAAAGTATCTTTTTGTCCGTGTGTTTTTCAGGACGGCTCGAACCATCGACAGTTTGGCCAGTCGTATAGAGGACCCTCAGATCCAGGCTCACTGGTCCAACATCAACGATGTGTATGAATCCAGCGTCAAAGTGCTCATCACCTCTCAAGGATACGAGCAGATCTGCAAGTACGACTACATTACGCCGACTCAAAGACACATTGACATGACAGTGTCTGAGAATGCAGGCCTCATTCATTAAAAACAACCACGTCAGAGGCTGATTTACACCACACGACTCTTGCACAGACCTTTGCCCTGATTTTCAGGAGTTTCCACCGGTTTGAGTCGACAGATTTCACCCCTTTTCCACCAGAACTGGTTCGAACCAGACTTGAGGAATGATGTGTTGTTTACCTGACTATATCCAGTCTGAAATCAAAGCGCTTCCGGGTGTTTTGCTGTTCACAATAGCGGGAGTGATTCTAGTGAACCGGAAGCTCACATAAACCCCTGTACTCTCTCATCTGTCCCTTTCGGAGATAAATTGAAACTGAAACCCTTGATTCACTCGCTCTCTCGCACACTGGGTCTCTCTTGCGTGCAGTTTTACATATTTAGATATAAACAGGGTTCGTACAAGGTGCTTGAAGTACTTGAATTTGACGTTTTGAAATGTAAGTTTTGAAAAACTTATGAAAAGGTACTTGAAAAGTGCTTGAATTATTGAAAGACAATATATGTGAAATTAGTCTAATTTTATTGATAAAACAATCTTTTCACAAATTCAACGCTGCGACCCATCTGATATAGATATAGAGCCATTTTGCATGGCTATGAGCTTGATGTTGTTCATAAATATCCAAGTATAGAATGCGTCTTTTCTTCAGGTCAATCATATATTCGTGGGAGCAAAAATCAGTTTAAATAAGGAAAGCGGTATCTATGTCTTTGTATCCTCTCAGTGGTTAAAGTTACCGGAGCCATTGCATCTGCTGCACTTCATGTGTACCATTTTGTTTTATTAGTTTATTTTTGTTTGTTTACCTTTTTAGAATTTGAAAGATAAAGTCCTTAAGTCCTGGAATTTCATTTTACAGTGCCTTTACGAACCCTGTAGTGCAACGTTTTTACATTGGGTTCATCGAGACCGCGCCAGTATTGCTCCGGTCCTGCTCCCCGCCTCCGCTTGAGACCAGCACGTTTTCTGAACCGATCTTTCTGAAGTCATTCAACTCATGTGATGTTTACAAGGAAAAATATTAATACCTTGATTATAATCACTCATTAGATATACATTGAAGCAGCAGTTTATTCCAGAATCCCCCCTTCAGCACCGATGTGTGAATGTTATTTAACCGGTAAAGACGAAACACTGTTGCTCGTGTGAACGGCACAAAGGTCAATCTGATCATTTTACGTTCATTCACCGGCTTTAGTGTGTGGACGGTGCTTATGATTGCACCTAGTTGGAGGATATTAAACATGTTTGATATTTGAGCAACAGGAACAGTCATCATAAAACCATGAACCATATAAATCACACATGAAATTATTCTAGCATAAATGGCATTTTCTGTACAGTTTTAGAGATAATTTACACACAAATTTGTTCCTGTTTCTCAAACTCTCTACTCTCGGGTGATCTAATCGTGCCTCTGATCAGTTGAGTTGGCACTGTGTGTGATGTGTGTGTGATCTGGTGGTGTGTGCAGGTCGATCCAGCTGCAGCTGAACATCGGAGTGGAGCAGATCCGAGTGGTGCACCGGGACGGCCGCGTCATCGCGCTCTCACACCAGGAGCAGGAGCTGCAGGACTTCCTGCTGTCACAGGTCACGCTCGCGCTCGCGTTTGAGGATGCAGGAGCTCTTCGTGCGGTGCTAATCATCTCTGTGTGTGTGTGCAGATGTCGCAGCATCAGGTTCATGCGGTGCAGCAGCTGGCTAAAGTCATGGGCTGGCACGTGTTGAGCTTCAGTAATCACGTGGGCCTCGGCCCCATCGAGAGCATCGGGAACGCCTCCGCCATCACGGTTGCGTCTCCCAACGGAGAATACTCCATCTCAGGTGCACAAACACACACATCTACACATGCAGTGCTACACACCAGCATTTCCCTCAGCAAACACCTCTGATTGGCCATTGCATTCATGCGCTCAACATATATGTCTGTGATTGGCCATTGTTTTCACACTCTCACTCTCTGGAATAATAATAAAGGTTACTGCTGCTTTTAAAAAAACAAAAAATTTGATCACCGGTTTAATCTCACAATTGCGGGTTTATAGCTCACAATCCAAGACTTTATTTATCGCAACTGTGGGATTAACACGTGGTGTTAAGATGTGTCTTGGTGGATCAGATCACAAGTAGACGAGGGAGACACATTCCCCTTCACACCTGGTGTTTTAATCGTCTCTTTTGTCCACTTTCGGCCACTTCTGTCCTGATTTCTTCAAAGGAAGGGTAAATGTATGGGTTTTTCAAATCTTTCGATCTAATGAATAAATGAAGCTCGTAGACTACAGAAAAACACACAGAGCAGCAGCTTTAGTTTCTGCTCTGCCAGCCACAAGACCAGCCGAACGCTGAGAGTGTGTTAGAGAACATCGAGCTTGGTACTTTTTTCACCCTAAAGCCAAAGTTGGTTCTCGAGCCGACAGTTAAACCCCGTCTGGCTAGTGCGCTTCCCAGAATGTTCACTCATTATTTCAGTAGGCGGAGAGAAGCCACTCTTTTGTGGCTGTTGAACACATGAGCATTTACTCTACGACATCAGTCCGGTCGAATGTGTTTTCTGCTAGATCTGGAAGTGGTTTACACCTCAATTTAGTGTCGTCCACTTCTGATCCGATCGACTAAAACGCATCTCAATATCAGGTTGCATTTACCTTTGTTATTACATGGCGAAAAACAAGCTTACATACAGATGCTGTAGGAGGAGTTGAAGTTTAACCCTGTGATCTCCCTCTGGCGCTTGAGTCTGAGCTCATGTGTCCTGTCGGTCTGTCTGCAGTGCGCAACGGCCCCGAGAGCGGCTGTAAGGTGCTGGTTCAGTTCCCGCGCAGTCAGGCCAAAGAGCTGCCCAAGAGTGACGTGGTGCAGGACGCCAAGTGGACCCACCTGAGGGGTCCGTACAAGGAGGTGCACTGGGGCCGCATGGAGGGGAGAAACTTCGTCTACAAAATGGAGCTGCTAATGGCCGCCCTGACGCCGTGTCCCTGAAGCTGCCGCCGCTTCTCTCTCGCTCTCACACTCCTTGTTGCTTCTCCCCGATGTCTCACGCTGTGAGATCTCATCTGTAAATGACTCCTGAAGTGCTCTTGAGCTTCAAGCATGGAGTTGACAAGACGTTTTTCTAAGAAAAGGCCAACGATGGCCAAAACACATGAAATAAAACATTTGTTCTTAAAGCTACGCATTTTTCTTATGTTGTTATAATAACCAGTTTATACAAGCAGAGTGAACAAATTAGACAAATAAAAGATCAAGCAAAACTCCACATTTAATGAGTATAACCAGTGCAGGAAGTCATCATTATGCAAAGACGTTTATTTTAAAGCTGTAGGATCAAAAAGGTCAGGCCTGGTTTGGCCAAAAATCTGGATGTTTCTAAATAGTAATCATCACATTGAGCCACATTCAAATCTGTTTGACATTTGCACACTAAAACTTATAACGGAGTAAATCTGTTAGCATTGGTACCTGACACGCAGATGGAAATTAGCACTCGCAATGTCAAATAATTGTTAAAAACATATATATACAGTGATGTGAATAAGTTATTACCCCCATGCTAAAGTTGCCTAAAAAGAGGAATAAAAAATCATCTTTTGGAAATTGATCTTAATGCCTTAATTAGAAAAATGAGGAAAAATCCAACCTTTAAGGACACCAATTTTCTTTGTGTATGAATAATGTATCATAAATAAATAAATGTTCTTCCTTAAAATACAGGGTGCATAAGTCATGTTAAATTCCCATAGAGTCAGGCAGATTTTTATTTTTAAAGGCCAGTTATTTCATGGATCCAGGATAATATGCATCCTGATAAAGTTCCCTTGGCTTTTGGAATTAAAATATCCCACATCATCACATTCCCTTCACCATACCTAGAGATTGGCATGGTGTTATTTCAGTTAGTCTTATAGCTGGTTTGATTTGCATTGAAAGATGATCTTATGGAAAGTACCCCATGCCAATCTCTAGGTATGGTGAAGGGAATGTGATGATGTGGGTCTATTTTAATTCCAAAGGCCAAGGGAACTTTATCAGGATGCATATTATCCTGGATCCATGAAATAACTGGCCTTTAAAAATAAAAATCTGCCTGACTCTATGGGAATTTAACATAGGGGGGGCCTGACTTATGCACCCTGTATTTTAAGGAAGAACATTTATTTATTTATGATACATTATTCATACACAAAGAAAATTGGTGTCCTTAAAGGTTGGATTTTTCCTCATTTTTTAATTAAGGCATTAAGATCAATTTCCAAAAGATGATTTTTTATTCCTCTTTTTAGGCAACTTTAGCATGGGGGTAATAACTTATTCACACCACTGTATATATACATGTTTTCTTTTCACATGAATCTACACTCCAAACGCCATAGTGACAGCAAAAAACAGATTTGTGACAACTTTGCAAATGTATTAAAAAGGTAAAAACTGAAATGCGTACATTGCATAAGTATTCAAAAGTGGGAAAAGAGGCTCATCCCCATCATACCACTTTTGGGGAATGATGCAACAAGCTTTGCACATCTGCATTTGGTGATTCTCCTTAAGCTCTCTCAGGGTGGATGGGGCCATCGGTCGACAGGCGGTTTCGTGTTTCTCCAGAGTCCGTAGGCCACTCTTGCGTTGTCTTGGCCCAGTCTGAGGCTCTGAATGCTCTGGACTAGGGTTTCATTAAGGCTAACTCTATATTTTGCTGCGTTCCCCAGTCCTTGCCGCTGAAAAACACCAACAGCATGATGATCCACCATCACACTTTACTGTTGGTGACGAGCAGTGCCTGGTTTCTGAGCTTCATCAGACCAGAGAATACTGAAGTCCTTTTTTTTCAGTTTTCATGTGTCTTCACTGAGGAGAAACTTGGGTCTTGCCCAGATCGGTGAAGTGTTGCAGTGACGTTTGTCCTTCTGTGAGTCATATAAGATCATGGAGCTCCACCAGACTGAACACCAGCTTCTTGGTCCCCGCTCTAACCAAGGAAGATTTCCTTTCTTCCCCTGATCCGTCTCAACACAACCCTGTCTCTGAGCTCTATAGGCAGGTATTTGGACCTCACTACTTGGTTTTTGCTCTGATATGCATTTTCAGCTGTTAGACCTTTTATTGAGAGGTGTGTGCTTTTCCAAATCATACCCATTCAATTGAGTTTACACGTGTTAACTCCACTCGAAGTGTAGTAACATCTACAAGCGAAATTGGAAAGCTCCTGAGCTAAGTTTCAAGTGTCCCAGAAAAGGGTATGAATACTTATGCACGTATGCGCATTTATCCAAAGCGATTTCAGTTTTTTATTTCAAATATAAAATTCGCAAAGTTGTCACACATCTGTTCTTTTGCTTTGTCATTATGGTGTATGGGGTGTATAGATTGATGTGAAAATTGTAACATAAGAGATTTTTAACTTTGGAGATCTGCCACACTGACTGAACAATCATCTGGGACTTTAGAGGGGAACTCTGCTTGTAGCGGATGTGAAGTTCTTCACTCGGCTCGTCCTCTTCATCTCACACACGTTAATGAGCGAGTGTGTTTCCGTCACAGTGGCTGTAGTTCGGTCTCCGTGTGCTCTGTGTGCACAACACAAATACAGAGGCTCATTTCAGATGCATTCATTATTACATCTTACAGAAAATATGTAAACCGCAAAATTGGTTGCTAAACAGTCTTTCTAATAGAAACAAATTATCTGATCATTTTAGGGCTGCAACAACTAATCGATAAAATCGATAATAATCGATTATGAAAATCGTTGTCAACGAATGTCATTATCGATTAGTTGGTCTGCTTACGTCACGGAGAGGGTTTACTGGTGATTGGTTGAAACAGGCCAATCAGGATGCTCTCTGTCTTACACGCGCTTCATGAGGCACATACGCACACACGCAAGGCCTCTCTCCCTCCGCCGCTCTGCCGCACGCGCGCGCTACACGGTTTGGAGCACAGTCTCTTCTGTCTCGCATGTGCGCTCAAATCCCGGGAGTTTGAATTAATTTGCGGGCATCAGGGAGCCGCATAAGCCGCTATCAATATGCGGGTGACTCCCAGAACTTCCGGGAGACTTGGGATGTCTGTATTTTGTCTCGAGCATCAGGTTGCGCAATCAGTTCGCTCGCAACATAAGTGATGGATTAAAATAGCGCTACCGCAGAAATAGGTTAAATTAAAACGGTCTTTACAAAGCGAAGCACTAAATATAAAGGCAGTTAATAACAGCAGCAGTAAAAGATTGTTTTAGTCACTGTACTCAGTGGTTTTCAGCGAATGCTTGTGCACTAATGCATCATTTTTCCTGTCCTTTTAATCAAGCCTGTTAACTTGCTGCGTACCTCCACTCTGCTCTCTATTTATAGCATTTGTCTATTAAGTTTTAATGGGCTCTATGCACGGCGGTATTTCCGGTGAAGGTCTAAGGATGCTGGATTACTTCCGCCGATCGTAGAGTCCAATGCTATACCGAGAATTTATATTGGTTTTTATACTCTATTGCTATACTAAAGAAACGTTAGTCACAAAAACAGACAAAACAGACACCCCTCATTTTGTTTATGCTTCTGTGTTTATTATATTAAATAAACATAACTATATATAAAATTACATCTAAACGTATTAAAGTTTCGTTTCAAAGACGAGAGGACAGTAAATTTTGAAGACTCTGCCATAATCCCGTTTTCCTCGGTTTTCCTCCGCTTTAAATCTCCCCAACCGGAAACGCACGAGCATCCTTGCGTCAAACGCGGAAGTTATGCGTGCATATAGCCCATTGTTTTTCAAACGCGATCTACTGCAGCTCTACGTTCACACGCTTGTTTTCAGACTTTCTATATTTATTTTATCAATGTATCCTTATAATTCAATTAATTTTAAATAAAAATTAAATTAATTATATATTTTAGATGTTTTTAGTTTATATCTTCACATCTGAAAAACATATCTGTGTAAATTTGTTTTAACAAAAATTGTGTTAAAACAATATGTTGGATATAAATGTTTTTTCTTTACATTAATCATGGTTGTCAACTTGCCATCAGCAATTATCATTAAAAACAATGCAAATATTGATATTACTAAAACTCAATGTGTGGCTTTTGCACTTTTAAAAGTACACTTTTACACATAAATATCCTAATTTAGGGTTTTAGGTAACACTTTATTTTACGGTGTCCTTGTTACATATGTTACATGTACTTACTGTAGTAATAACAGTAAATTATGCATAATTACATGCAACTAACCCTCAACCAAATCCTAATCATACCCTATTCCTATAGTAAGTACATGTAGTTCCTTAATATTACTCTGTTCTTAAATATATGATTACACTGTAACAAGGACACCTTCAAATAAAGTGTAACCGGGTTTTATTTAGTCAAAAAAAAAAATCTAATAGAAATTTTTTATCCGATTAATCGAAAAAATAATCGTCTGATTAATCGATTATCAAAATAATCGTTAGTTGCAGCCCTAGATCATTTTCTCTTCCGTCCTGTCAGTGTGTGTGTGATATAATCCAATGCCCCAGACATGAATGAAATCTAATACATTTATGCACTTATTAGCATGTAACTATTGGTACTATTAGTTCCTTTTTCACTTCAAGGTTCCCCATTGTCCACATTAATATTTGAAGCCCCCGCCTCACTACCCAATAAAATTGTGTAGAGCTTGGCATAAATGGAAAGATGTTAACTCATTATAGTAATAATAAGAAATATTTAGACTTTTAGTTTGTCTTCGTTTAAATAATTTGAAGTCGCCTTGTGATGAGAACCACTGCTCCGCGATCTCTTCTACCTATCAGATCTGCGAATCGCTTCATTATCCGTCTACCCAGCAAACACACAACATTCCCTGGATGTACATCATTTTCTGCAGAGGGAATTTAGTGAAAGTCGTCAGCGCACTGATCAGGGAGGCGGCCATTTTAGGGGCCGTCTCAATCGCAAAATCCTTTCAGTGCACTGAAATGTTTGCTCCCTCAAAAGTCCCACAATGCACTGTGAAAACCAAGGAGCATCTATGCTCACTATGTCCCCAAACATAAATCACGTGAGCCAACTAAATTCACATGATGCACAGCATCAACTATTTTGCATATAACTATAAAAACGGTAAAATATTAATCTTCGGATCGGTCTCTTTTTTATTGTTTTTAGGGCATACTGAATCAAATGACACACTTTAAGGCCATATTGGGTGTAGGCCATTTATAAATTTGTCATAAAATGCATTATTTTACAAATGTTTTGAAAATGTTTCAAAAATGCTGGTATTATACTCATGCTTATTATTTAACTTATATTCATTTTGAGATTCCATGTTTGCCATGCGCCGCCATTTTCAGTTTCATTGCCAAGCTACTTTTTCAAACTTCAGCATTCATCTGATCTTTGAAAAATTGAGCTAATTTCAGTTCTTTGATAAATATATAGCAAAAGGAAGCAGAACTCAGTAAGCGTGTACATGACTGAAGTGATTTACAGCTTCACTGATTAAAAATGGAGGGTTTTTTGCTGTAAAAACCTTTCATAAAATGGCTAAAGACTATATTACAATGGAAGAAAACAATGTTTGCATGAGACATAACCTTCTGTGTTCTGGTATCAAATGCATCACACATTGATTAAGACATTTACACATTTTTGTGTCTGACATTTCCTTATTTATAAGCCACTTAAAATAAAGGATTCTGCTACATAGTGTTAAAGGTAAATTACAGTAAATGTAGCTTGTCACCTGGTAAGCATCTGCTCTGTATCCAGGCTTTTATGAAGCGGTGGAGTTTATTCCAGAGCCACATACACAGCATCAGGAAAGCAGCCAGGGTCGCCAGCACAATGACGAAAACCACCAAGAACTGCATGTCCTCGTGCAGAACCTCTGAAACACGTAGCATTTGTTCAATGCAAAAAAAGGAAAGTTATATTAAACCGTTGTGCCAGCTGACATTTGTGATTTATATCAAAAACTCTCTGAAATATGTGCAAGCTGATATACCCGACTGCATTGCAGAATTACTAACATGGCAGACTACATCTGTGACTGTGACATTTAACCAGTGTTTCGGGTAACAAGTTATGTGCGTTACATATTCAAATGACTTTTTGAAAGTAACCAGTAATGTTTTTTTTATATATTATTTTTTTTTTACATGTTTTCACATTGCTTTTCTAACGATTTAATTGATTCACTGGTAAAAACGATTGAGGACGGTTCATTTCAACTGGATAATCAGCATCTGATGCCAGACCACAGCATAAGCTGGTGCAACTGAAGGACTAATAACTTTAAAGCTACTCACCAGTTACACTCAATACCAGACCCATGTCTTGGCTGTTACCAGACGTTTCTGTCACGGTGATGATGTAGTAGCCGGAGTCTTGGAGACGTAAGTTGGATAAGGTCAGAGAACCGTTGGGATGCGTTTGCACTCTTCCCTCGTACATTTGCGTGACATTGGCAGAGCCGCCGAGGATCCAAGCTGCGATCCTTTGCCGTCGGCTTACAGAACTGAACACCCATCTGACTGCCGGAGTCCCGATGCACGTGATGTCCACGGAGAACAGTGCACTTCCCTGAACTGGAGCCGCGACGGCGTTCCCCGACGCCTGAATGGTGATCGCCTGAGCTTCAGAGAGAGGAGAAGTGCGGGTGATTTTTCTTGGGGATGTTAAAATACTTTCTTGTATCCCAGTTTACCTGTCAGTCCGTTTACATGCACACGGCCCACATCCGGCACACACCCGGGCCGGATCTGGGCCGACACTATGTTGCTGTCTGGTAATCTGAGATGCAAAAGCAGCCATAAGAGATGATGTCTTGTTTTCTAGAGGAATAAATCTAAATTAAGTGACTTCTTGCTTAAAACAAGCAAAATTATCTACCAATGGGGTAAGAAAAATGATCTTGTTTCTGTTTGAATTAAGATTATTTTTCTTTCCCCAATGGCAGATCATTTGCAAGTCACTTAATTTTGATTTATTTTCATAGAAAACAAGACATAATATCTTATGGCCTTTTACTACTTTAGTAAATGCATCTTGATTTAAGAATTTATAGATATTTGGACTGGAAACAAGACAAAAATACGAAGTAAGAAAAGCATTTTTTGCAGCGTTGAGTACCAACTCCGTGTATCTGTATTGCTCTGTTAGTCTGATGAGACTGCATAAATTGCGTCAAATTTTTTCTGACCTGAAAGACGTTCATAAAAAAAAAAGGTCATTTATTTGATATTTATTATTTGGCACACATAAGGCCCTCGCGGTCTTCCTCTTCAATCTTCCTCCAAGTCCACACTTTATTGGCTTGAAGTGAACGTCTGCTGCGGAGCATCTAGCATCGAGGATGTACAGAACCGTAAAAGATGAAACCTAAAATGACAAATGTGACCCGCTATACAGTCCCGCATATAACAGCTATTATAAGACGGTGAGTGTACATGCTGTGTGCCATTTGGGATAGGCCCAATAACTGCAAATATGTTAATAAAACAACATCGACGTCTAAATGAATTCACCCTTAAAATGAAAATTCTGTCATTATTTACTTACCCTGAATGCTAAAATTTAACATTTTGAATAATAAGTCCGCAGAGTCTGACTTGTGATGCAGGAATCATAAATCTCCTCAGGTTCATTCATTTAGTCCAGAAGAGAACTGGCCCACCGCAAATGTTCTCCATTTCTGTCACAGACGGAGTTTGGGTTCCTTGCCACTGTCACCTTTGGCTTACTTTAGTTGGGGACATTAATATTCAGATATATTATTGATTTGACTACACTGACACGCAATCGGATGACAACAAATTATGACCTGACTCGAGCTGAATAAAGACACTATTGTCTTCCTCAGAGATGCTTTACATCAGAATCTCAATCACTCTCATATTTGATGAAGTTTGCATAATTCATTCTGGTATTTCCCTTTTTATTACTGTGAAGGTGTATTGTATAAATCTGCTTAGTATAAAGCGCTATAGAAATAAAGGTGCCTTGACTTATAACACTTGCCAAAATATCCCCAAACAACAGTATGTCTATATAACACAGTGGCTGTAGATGGATTTAGCTTCTCGGTGGGATTCCTTAGGGCAAAAACCACTCCACTCATGTGCCTGTCCTTTCTCAGTGAGTTAATAATCACCCCCCTTCAAACCAAAGCGAGTTGGTGGAGTTCACTGCCAATGATATGATAGAAGAAGCTGCTGTATTCTTTCTCTTATCACTGATAAAATGACCCGCTTTAAAACATTACGGTCCAATCCAAACTTAGCAACTTATTTTACTGCGTCTACACTGTCCATTCCTGCTCCTACACATTTCCAAATGAAACTATGCCCTGAAACAGTGTCTTCAAGTAAATTAGCCGTGAAGTAAAGAATCTGAAGTGAAGAATGGGGTTGTAAACAGGATTGGCTAGCCTGACTCATTCACTCGACACCAGAATCCTGTCCTTCGGTATTCAGCTCAACTGCAAGTTTCATACGTGGCAGGTGTTTGTTTAGCAATCTTCAGCTGAAAAGCAACATCTAGACTTGTTATACAGTGTGAATTACATGAAAATGCTAAATATTACATCGCCAGTTTTAGAGAGGATTGTTACATGTTATTAGCGATTGTGCAGGATTGTAGATAAACTCTGTGTTTAATGTTAGAAGGTTTTGTTTGAACAAATGCATAGCAAAAATACCTGAACGGTTCAAACAAAAGCAATGTAATCATACTATTATAAATCTTAACATGCATTCACCTCTTCTGGAATCATAAAACATAGGCCTACATCTATCCATAAATGTTTATCTAGATGAGGACATAATATAGACATCTATTATTTTCTATATTATGTGCATTATAATGATTACACACTAATTAAACCCTAACCCTAAACAATATATACTTTTGTCCCCAAAGCATATCTATAACTAATACAAACACATAAGTAGACACACATATACTTACTGTAATGGCAGAGAGAGAAGATAAGATATAGTATGCGTGCGTTCTGAGACAAACATATCCATGCAGGCCTCATTAGACTGATTCCTCCATAGATTTAAATACAAGTTACATGTGATTGTCTTTATAGCTCTGTCATAACTCTAGACTTTCACCCTGTCTTTCTCTGCTATCCTTTCTGTTTGCTGCATGCTTCCTTATGCCAGTCTGTGCGTGTCCATATTTTCTTCTGAGTTGTTGTTTTCTCTTTCCCTTTCTCTTTCGGTATTTGCTCCCTTTTGCTCTTTTTCCTGTCTGTCTGATCTGTTCATTCAACAAGTCTTTATAGCAGGCGATACTGATCAGACCGGTTCAACAGCGTCAGCTAGTGAAAACATGCACACGCCCGCATACACACACACACACACACACACACACTTTGGAATGGAACATCAGCATACTGCTTACTACACAGTATTAAATTGTAGGGTTTTTTTCATAGTGAGCACATTGTTACTGAAATATATCAGAACAGTATTGATGGGTGAAGGTGATTTTAGGTAATTTAACAAATAACAATAAATCTTATGACTGTTCAAAACTTTTATTTATATATAAAAAAAATCCAACAGTGTTCTTTGAAAAAACAGAAAAGTAGACCTCTTCTGCAGGGGTGGCACCACTACTCTAAAAGTGGTGGGGCAAAATTTTATAGTTAAAAATGTAATAAAAATTGAGCTATTAATATTAATTTAAACTAAATATTATGTGCCAGAACAAATGCAAGAAAAACAATTAAAAAAAAGTTTCATCAAAAAAATCTTCATTTTAAGGGTTTGAAACTACACGAGAAAGAGTAATAATGACAGAATTTTAATTTTTTGGTGAACTGATTATAATCAATGGCAACCCTTGTAACTGAAATGGGCCGCACAGAATACTATATTGCCAAATTCAGAGAGTGGGCTGGTCAATGAACAAACATGGCTTTTGGCTGTTCGACTTCTATGTGTGTTTGGACAGCACTGACACAGCCAGCCATGTCAGCGGCTCCATCATAACACCGACCACGAACATCAGAGAGATTTAAATTAAATCGAGTATCCTTGTTATAGACACAAAAGAAGCAGCATCTTTACCTGGGTTTTTATAGACACCAATGAAATCCTCATGAACAACAAAGTCATGTGAAACATGCAGAATAATATATTAATTTAGTTCCTTCATGGACATATCAGTTGTACTGTCAAGTATTAGACTAAACAATCTATTATTCCTAATCTGTGCTGAAAGCGCTCTTGTAACCTCTGAGGCCGTTATATTTAGGAGTTCATTCTGTATCTCATGGAAGCAGTATTTATCTCGCCTTTGCAACCAAGATCCCAATGTTGCACTGTCCCTTGCTCGTAGTTTCAGTAATTTGACAAAAAGGCTGCCTGCATCTGTACTGTGCCTGAATGGAAGACCCTGCTCACCAATAAACTGAATGATTCAAGTCTCTTTCGGTGGGTTATCCAGCTGATGTGGGCGTGGATCGCCTCAGAGCATTTGTGTTTGAATAGAGCGCGCGCTCCGTGGGCGTGGTCAAATTAACTTTAATGACCTGAGACGAGAACGACTTTCATCTCTCTCTTTTCGTACAGATTACATAAAATGAGAAAATTAGTTTTTTATATAAATTACTTCATTTAAAAGAAGATAATTCAGGCTTCATGCCTGTGTGCCTGTATACCTGTTTGACTGAGTATTTGCAGAGTTACAGTTCATTTTTCAGACGCGTTTCAGAATGGACTTCACTGACAGAGAGAACGCAGAACGCGCATCATGTTTTATTTTTCTTTATTAGGCGAAAAGCACAACACTTTGTTTTTATTGTGAGGTTCCACAAAAAAAATACAAACTTAACAGGATCGAATGATGTACAACACTTATTTGTAAGATCAAAATCAACAGAGTAATTTGAGTCTCTTTTGCACTGATAAGGAAAAAAGTGAGCTGGTATCGCCGGCGAGACCGCCGACCCCAGAGGGTTACGAAGGGCAGTTTCTGTACTGTGTTGCAATCTAAAACCTGACTGAAAGTATCAAAAATATTATTTTTGTTTAAAAAAGTAGAGAGTTGCTTAAGTACCACCTTCTCCAGCAATTTAGATAAGAAAGGTACCTTAGAAATCGGTCTGTAATTGCTTAAAGGGGGGGTGAAACACTCAGTTTCAGTCAATCTCATGTTAATCTTGAGTACCTATAGAGTAATATTGCATCCATCATATCTCCAAAAAGTCTTTAGTTTTATTATATTTATAAAAGAAAGATAGGCTGTACCGAGTCTTTCCGTAAAAAGCCGAGCGGGTGGAGGCGTGCCGTGTGGGGGGAGCTAAACACGAGCGCGCAAAGTTTTAGAACATTTGTGTGTCTACTCGTGGTTTATGAAGACATGATTTGGTTTTACAATAAACAAACAGACACCTACAGTTGCCACCTAAACAAATGTATTTAAACAAACACACAACATACATCGCATGCTCCATAGATACATTAACTATTCGTGATCATGTTGTTTAGCCTACTTGCTATGCTTAAGTTACACGCCGATAGACACACAGATATTTGAAGCAGTTCTACTCACCGCCTGCGGTTCCAATGCAAGACCGTTAACCTTTAGTGTTGGGACTGCTCCATCCTTGAGAACTAAACGATTAGCAAATCCGGCTTCGAACTGGGCCTTGTTTATAAAAAAATCATCCTCGAAATGCATGGAACAAACAAGAACACTTGCACAACTGTGTTGATGTTCTGGAAAAACAAACTCCATCCACTGGTCCCTTAACGCTTGATTCTTTGAGAATCTGTGCAGTGTTGTCTTGCCTTGGCAACCAAAAACACACTTCTTTGGTGACATATTGCAGCGCAGCCGATGCACAGCGCTTTCATGGGCATAGGTTACGGCTATCGCTCTACAGCTGCGCTCGCGCCCTTCCGAGAGAAGTGCCCTTAGGACCGTATAAGGAAATTCCGGCGCATCTGACGTCATTGACAAAACTTTCCGAAACTTGTGACAACCAGGAAGGAGTATTTTGAGAACAGAAATACTCAATCAAACGTACAACTTAATTTTTGAAACTTTGTCCATGTTTAGCATGGGAATCCAACTCTTTAACAGTGTAAAAAACTCACTATGCATGAAATAGCATTTCACCCCCTCTTTAACACAGAGGGGTCTAAACTCGTTTTCTTTAAAAGCGGTTGTACAAGTGCGTGTTTGAAATAAGATGGCACTATCCCCTTAGTAAGACTCTGGTTAACTAAAACTGTAATAGTGGGCCCCACCGCATCCAACACCTGAATCAACAAACGAGGCGGTAAAATATCCAGCGAACAAAAAGCTGGCTTCAGGTGTAGGACAATATCCAGCAAATCATCTAAAGAAACCGGCTCAAATGTAGTCAGCACACCCCGAGCACACAAATACAGTGGTGGTTCCAGGCTACCTTGGGCACTGACAGAATTCACAATGCTGGCTCTGATCATTGTGATCTTGTCCATAAAAAACTGAGCGAACTTTCCACAGGCACTCTCCGCATGCTCAAAAACAAAGGGGCTGGCAGGACTCATCACATCACAGAATTAATCACACGGAATAACATTTTTGGGCTATGCTGATTTTTAGAGATCCGAGAAATGTTTCTCCTTAGCCGCTTTTACGAACTGTTGATAAGATAGCATACGCTCTCTTAGAAGCTCGTAAGAGACCTGCAGTTTGTCCTTCAACCATTTCCTCTCTGCCTGCCTCCATAATTGCCTCAACATCGACTCTCATCATTAAGCCAGGGCTGGGATACAGTTTTTGCTTTTACCTGTCTCCAGGGGGCAATACAATCCAGTATATGGTTGCACTCCGTATTAAAATCTAACACACGGTCCTCTACACTCTGGTTTAAATCATTGAGTTCATTTGCTAACTTGTGGGCTTTGTACTGTTCTGAAAACCTAAAAGCTGATGCAGCATTTATTGCCCGGGCACGACGGCCCACTGTCCCTGGTCCCGCAATCCGCCTGGCAATAGTGACATTAAACGAAATAACAAAGTGATCTGACAACCCCAAGTTCTCTATATTCAGATCACCAACCGGGACACCCCAGGACAAAACTAAATCCAGAGTGTGCCCCTGTTTATGTGTTGCACCGGCCACCGATTGCGTAAGGTTAAAGGAATCCAGCAATAACAGGAAATCTTGAACTAAGGGCTTCTCAGGGCAACAGATATGAAAATTAAAATCACCCAATATAACAAGATTGTCATCACAAGTCATCATACAGGATAAGAACTCAGAAAACTCCCTTATAAATTCCTTGTTAAAAATGGGAGATCTATAAATTATTGCAAATGTGACCGGCTTAATCAGGTCGACTTTAAATACTTGTACTTCAAAACTAACATAATTATCAATTGACACCAGCCTACATTTCAGAGAGTTCTTAAAAATTGACGCAATCCCCCCTCCCCGCCCCCCCGTCCTTGGAGAGTTCAGAGCATTATAGTCTCTAGGTGAAGCTTCAGCGAGGGAGCAGCGATTATAATCACTGAGCCATGTTTCAGTCATTAAGAATAAATCCAAGTCACGAGAAGAGATGAGATCGTTAATTCAAAGTGTTTTGTTATAAATAGATCTTAAGTTCAGGAGGGCAATCTTAATGATTGTACCTTGGGCCGGCTCACTTCGACTACAAGGGATAGGTGCATATTCCAGGAACCGGAGATTCACAGGGTTACTCCCTCTCTTCCTGAAACGCCGATGCGAGTCTTTGATCCCCGCTGACCGCACCCAGCGCCGAGGAGAGACCACAACCAGGTAAGAGATCGAGATTTGATTTGAGATCGGTCTATAGTTGCTTAAGATGGTCTTATCCAGATTGCTCTTTTTCAGGAGGGGCTTGACAACTGCAGTTTTCAAGGAGTTTGGAAAACTCCCAGAGAGAAGTGAAGCATTTACTACTTCTAGGAGATCTGCTTCTAAGCTGTTTAACACACTTTTAAAAAAAGATGTGGGAAGTGCGTCAAGGACGCAGGTTGATGTTTTAAATGGGTCATATAATGGTAAATGCACTTTTACAAGTTGATTGTACTGAAATGTGCGTTGGCAGTGCCTGTACACAACCATCACATAATGATAAAAATCCATCCAGTGTTTTTGTTTTAATCTCCTTATATGTTTCCCCCTGCCTCAAATCAAGCCGTTCGACCGTGTGACGTCACACGGTCGGACGCCCCTCCCACGATTGTTGATTGACAGCAGCGTTTCAACAAAGACCCTCCATCGCTCGTTATCGAGCTA